TTGGGTAACCTTCCATTGATTACACAAAAATTTTAAAATTGTAGACGTAAAATTGGTACCATTGTCACTCACAATCGTCTCTGGCATACCAAATCTACAGAATACCTGTTCTTCTAATATTTTACCAATTACCGCAGCGGAAGTGCTTCGCAGAGGAAACAATTCCACCCACTTACTAAACCCATCAATGATGACTAAAAGATGGGTAAATCCTCCTGGAGAAGACTTGATGTAGGGACCCATGAGATCCATATACAGGGTCGCCCACGGTTTCTCGACTGGCGACGATTGCATCAAACCAGGAGGTTTCCGATTGTCGAATTTCACGCGCTGACAGATGTCACAGGTGGCGATGTAGTCCACAATCTGTTGACGCATGTTGCGGAAAAATTCGCTCTTCTTGACTCTGTCCATTGTTTTGTCGACGCCCAAGTGACCACTGTAGACAGCGTCATGGAAAGTGGCGAGGACCTCAGGTACGAGAGAAGATGGAATGACGGGAACGATGGTGGGAGTTTTGGTATAATACACCACCCCATTGATCGTCTCAAAGTCAGGGGATGAGTAATGTGCAGTTATCTCCTCTGGGCATCGTTTTTGGTGACGCTGGATGACTTCACGGGTCAGTTTACACGCCAGTTTGAGGGAACATGCCTGAATTGGTGGGTACATGTACTCCTCATCTTTGTCTACTTCTGTGGAATCTGTACCTGGATTACGTGATAAAAAATCTGCGACACAGTTATCCCGACCTTTAATATGTTGTATATATGGGGACCATTCTTGCAACTTCCAAGACCATCTCATCAACCTGGCGTTCGTATTTTTCATACTTTCGAGGTATGTGAGGGCGTGGTTGTCCGTCTGAAGAATAAATTCGTGACCATCAAGGTACTCACGAAATTTCTCTAGACCGAAGAGAATACCGTAACACTCTTGTTCTGCTGTTGAGTAATTACGCTCAGCTGGAGAGAAAGTTTTACTGGCAAAACTAATCACTTTCTCCTCCCCATATTCGTCTAATTGGGAAATATATGCTCCAACTCCGATATTACTGGCGTCTGTTCTCAAAATGAAAGGCTTTCCAGTGATCGGGTGGGCAAGTACTACTTCCTTTAAGAATGCGGCTTTAAGTGCATGAAAAGCCCGTTTTGCGGCGGGTGTTTCATGATAAGCACTTTTGTTTGAGGTCAACTTATAAAGTGGTTCCGCTAAAATGGCCATATGGTCAATAAATCCATGATACCATTGGATCATCCCAAGAAAAGTCTTTAAGAGCTTTCTTGTTGATGGAAATTCAAAATTTTGAATGGCCCTTACTTTTTCTGGGTCCATTTCTATGCCTTTGGAGGACACAATGTGACCTAGGAAAGCTGCGCGATTCTTCCCAAAATGGCATTTTGATTTTTTAAGTGTCAGGCCAGCTTTTCGAAACCGTTCTAAGACGGTCTCGAGATTCCTTTTGTGATCACTAAAATTTTCACTAAATACGAGGACATCATCTTGATAAATTAACACAAACTCATCGAGACCCGCAAGAAGCTCGTTCATCATCCTCTGATAGGACGCCGCAGCATTCTTGAGTCCGAAGCACATCATGTTAAACTCAAAAAGGCCCCTTTGGGTACAGAATGAGGTGTACTTGCGGTTCTTCCGATCCATAGGGATCTGCCAGTACCCTTTCTCTGCATCCATCGTACTGATATACTTTGCGTTGGCCAACTTACGGAGAAGGTCATGAACGCGAGGAATGGGAAAACTGTCATTCTCGGTATATCTATTGATGTGTCTCAAATCAACACAAAATCGCCAAGTCCCATCCGTTTTCTCTTTCAAAAGAACAGGACTTGCGTATGGGGAATCTGATGGACGGATCACCCCCAATTTTAGCATTTCGTCAACTTGTCGGTTGATCTCTGCATGTTTGTGGGGTGTCGTTGGATACGGACGCTGTCTCTTTGGATGCTCCTCCATCATTTTTATTGTGTACTTGACACCTTTAATCCTGCCTAATGGGGCATCGACTACGTCGGGAAACTTTTTGATAAGCTCCTTCAGTTGGTCGGATTCAAATTCACTCACTAATTGTAAATTGCAATTGGAGACGTGAACTTTACCAACTGTGAGTGGGGACTTTTGACTTGGAAAGGAGTCTGAAAAACCCCATTCCAGTGACCCTATGTCCAACAGTAACCCACAATTATGAAGAAAGTCCATTCCCAAAAGCATTTCGTTTGAACTGTTCATGACAGCAAATGTGTGATTGTATTCACGATAATTCAAATTAAATTTTAAGGTAACCATACCAGAGGGAAGAGACTCAGTACCATCTAGCATGATAACTGGTCCTTCTACCCATTTATTTACAGAAAATCCTTTCCCTAATACTTCCCTAAGCGATTTTACAGATATAATTGAAATCATAGAACCAGTATCCGCTAAGGCATTTAATTTACAGGAGGGAAAAGTAATAGGAAGGATAGGAATTAGTCGGTTAGGATCTTCAATTAGAGGATGAGTAACCACAAATCCGTGGATGGTTACTCCCTCCTCCCGTTTCCCGTCGCATCTTGTGACGATTGTTGACGCTGAGAGTGTTGATCACTCCCTTGACCACAATTCACTTGAGGCTGTTGACGACGACGACAATTCTGGGTGGTATGGTTGCTTAAATGGGGACAATATGTACACACTTTCGGTCGACCTTGTTGTCGGAAAGGTGCCACTTGTTGTTGCTGCTGTTGTGGTTGTTGTTGTTGTTGTTGTTGTCTATTTGAAGGTGGTGGGGACTTCCTTCCAGAATTTGCAGAATTTGTTTGATGAGATTCCACTTTCTTCTCACCTTTTTGCCAGGATTTGTACTTGTTGTGGGACTTCTCTTGTACAGGACGCTCAATTTTTGACGCATAGTTAATGAGGTCCACAACTGTTGCAGCACGACTCGCAAGAAGATTTGCTTTCAAGTACGGGAGGGCTCTTTCTGCAATGAAGGTGACAATTTCTGCTTCTTTGTTATTTGTTGTCATTCGGTTCACTTTCCGGTACTGGAGGTCCATTTCGAATGCGAATTTCTGGAAAGGTTCGTTTTCATGCTGCCGACGTAAAAGTAATTTCTCCAGAGCAGCATGAAGATTCGAATCAGATGCATACATGGTGATGAAATGTTTCTTGAACTCATCCCAAGTACGAGCAAAAAGTTTTGTGCGTTGCCACCATAATGATTGATTGGGATCTTGATTGAAGACGGCAGGCAGTGAGAGGATCCAATCTTTCCGAAGAAAGCGCTTCCGTTCCATATGATTCTCGAGTTCCATGATGAAATTCTCGGCTGAATCAATGTTCGGGTTAAATTTTGGTGGAGGAATATTGCCTACAGAATGAAATAGCACAGGTCCTGATGAGGAAGAACGAGTTTGCATGATTGCATCGGTAGGATTTATGGGGATTTCTTCCTCTTTCCGTTCCATTATTCTAAGGCGAGAAATGCACCACGCCGGAATCTCGTCCTCTTTGTTCTCACTTGGAGGGTTATTGACTTGTGGTGGAGAATGGGCCAAGAATTGCGGTGGTGAAGAACATGACAAGAATTGTGGTGGTGGAGGGACGCCAAGAAGTTCCACACAGGATGAGGGGTCATCTTGAGTTTGTGGCGTGGGTATCATCTCCTTGGAAGGAGCTTGAACCCTTGAATTTGCATTAATGAACTCATTGATGATGCTGGACTGAGCTTGAATAGTTTGGTCTTGCTTATCTATGGTAGTTTGCATCCTAGTCAATTGTTCATGAATCCAAGTGACTTCATTTTCAAATGATGACTTCATGGATCCTTGGAAATTTCCCATCTCCGTTTCCACAATAGCATAATTGCTTTTTATGCAAGATGCTAAATGGTTCCTGTATCGCCCTATTTGTTGACCGAGGTGACTAATCTTTTCATCTACATATTCCTGGAAGGGAATATTTGACTGTTGAAGGTAAGGGTATTCATAACCAATAAGGCTGGATAGGATAGGATCAGGAGAGGAAGAATTATGCAAAGCTGCCTGTTGCGATACCAATTGTCCTACTGCTTCGTGCCTATTCTCACAACGAATGTCAAATTCTAATAAGAGTTGTTTGACCCCAACTTCTAGGCTATTCACCCGACGCCACAGCGAATCTGTATGCTCAAAAAGTTGAGAGTTATGATGATTACTGGTTGAAATGAAAATTTGAGCAATTTCAGACGTTAACGAATCAAAAATGCGTCTAATTCTTACAAATTGATCATGATTTTTGTTCTGGGCGGCAAAAATGATCTCGATATCCCTATTCAGAACGTTTAACTGGTTACCTACTTTTTTACGGCGACGATCCGCATTCACGGATTCAAACCGTGGAATCATCCAGGAAGGTAAGTGAGGTAAAATATACTTTGTTACCAGTTTTTTGATGAAAATACCAATCAAGAGGAGGACCGCGGCGATACCAAAGACTTCCATCATGAAAAGAAATCCCCCATACCACCATGATGACGATACGAGGGGCGCTGTTGCCTCTGAGGTCACGTTTCCCTTGAGGTTGGTCAGCCCGGTCATGTCGACGAAGCCGAAGAGTTGAGTCAGCATTCCCATGATGTCGGATGAGGTTGTACCATCCAGGAAGTGGAGTAATATGTAATTTAATACGTAAAACACACTTTCCACTGCCAACGACTCAAAACTGTTCACAAACTCACTGTTTATGCCCTTCGCACTTTTTATCGCGAACGATTTCCAAGTTTATGATTGCACCTTTTATCACTAAGGGTTTCGAAGCACCAATTTGTAACGCTCCCTATTCTATTATGGGATTGCGTGTCCTGATTCACATCCACTTTCGCGGATGCCCCTTTTCTTTGTGACGTTGTGCAATAAATTTGTAGTAGAAACTCACTTTTTTATAAGAATTATGAATAAATTTATTTACATCAATACCGACTGAAAAATATTGACTTTACAGAAATGCTCGTATTATGAATACGTGGGAGAGCTAATGCTATTATTTTAATTTTAACTACTAATCTAGACGGGAACTTATTATTAAGTTTTCGAATCTTTAAACCTTGAACTTGATCTTGATGATCACTAAAAACTAACCTGCTGATCCTGAATCTAAAACTACACTCCGTTCTTCTTCTCTCTGCTTACTCTATATATACGTGATCACATAAGCCACGCCTTCTTGATCACTGCCTTTACTTACGCTACATATGCACAAACTACGCCCTCATGATCATGATGATCATGATGACGTAGGCATCATTCTGTGCTCCTCATTCCTATCCTCTCTTCCCCTTCGTGATCTCCTCCTGCACACAATATGGTTTGGACACACATGAGAGGCGAGATACATATGAAAACTACATCTATGTATTTTGAATCCCTTGACCTTTGAAATGCTGATGTCACATTTGCATCAGCGTTCCAAAGGTTGCAGAACATAGAAGCGACTCGTTCTTTTGAAAGCAAGCTCATAAAATGCAATCGTATTTATTCCTCTCCATTGTCAACCTTAAAACTTGCAACATGTTTGAAATAAAAAACTTCGCCAAATTTCTCCTCATCACTAGCGCACTTTCCCAATTCCGCCCAGTGTCTGGCGCCCTCGTCGCGAAACTCTGCAATGCTACCGTCCCCGTCATGACCGTGTTTGCCGGCGTCTCGTACGACGGGGACGACTCCATCTTCCACTTCGGCGGGTTGAACGTCTTCCCAACAGAAATGGATCCCGAATTAGCGATGAACGCCATCTGGCGGTACAGCATATCCGCAGACGCATTCGATCTTGTCACCCGCCTTCCCATCGGCATGCTGTACCCTTCAATAATAAATTCCGGAGACGGGACCTACCACATTTTGGGCGGAGCGGTAGACGAATTTTTGCCACAATATTCGGTTTTCAAGTTTTCCGTGGAGAACCGAACGGTCACTGAAGTCGCACAACTCCCCAATATCGGCCAGTACATGGGCGCCTTCAAGAGGGACGAAGAGACGGTCTTCCTCCTCCGGCGGGATATTTCTGCGGCCATATGCAAATTTAATCTTTCCTCGTACGAAACAGTGTGGTGCACTCCGATGGGAGAAGAAGGCCAGATAAGGTAGGACTCGATGACGAAATCGTTAAATAAACACATTTTTAATCATTTATTGGCTTTGGAAATTTATTTAAAATTCTGGAAGGTTTCAGAGCACGAGCATTTTGTTGGACGATGTGGATAGGTTGGCCTACATCGCGCTCTTCGATAACACCGAAAATCAAACGGTTCTCCGCTATGACGCTGTCCGCGAGGAGGGAACCTTGATCAACTTCGGGGCAAAGAATTTCACCGGGTATGCAACCTCTCCGACGGATTCTTTACGAAGATACGGATATGCGATGGGAAGCTACAATTCGGTCTCGTCCCTGCTTCGATTCGACTTTAGGACGCAAAACGTTGAGTATTTTCCGTTTGAAATTTCCCTTCCGGGAGTTTCCTCGTATGGGATGGGATGGTCAGTCTTCATCCCCAAATTGAACGGGATCTATCTTTTCGGAGGATACTTGCAGAGTTCTTTTCGGAAGGAGGTGTGGTTCGTGGATTTGGTAGAAAGTGAAGCCGGCTTTCGAAACAGGACGATTATTCCGTGAGAAAATTTTAAGAAATGTACCTCGCTTAAATTTTTCACATAAGATCCAATACAATATCAAAACTAAAAACGATTACTCCGTCGGATTTATTATTCGACGTATTTATGTACATACACCTACTTAATCTGCATATTTTAATTAAGTACGATGCAGCATCTAGATAGTTTTCAAAAAACTGCATAATATTGCAAATTTTCTCTTTTCTTCACACATAATATGGACTTAATAAATAAAATAACTTTACAGAGCACAGTTGAACTTCGGCTATTTATTCGGTCTCGCATAGCATTATAAAATTTCTTAATTATTTCAAGAAATTCCAAAAAAATTGCGAAGCGAAGAATCGTTGATCGATTTTTGTTTTAACAAAGATCAGGCATTACCTACCTGAGAGTATAGAATTTAATTGTGTACCTATGCCGAGAGCAAGGGGAGGAATATTTGAGACCATGTAGAAAATTTGCAGACAAAATTGTCAACGAAATTTGTATGCATAACATTTTTTTGAAAGTTTTGGATGATTTCTTAGTCGTAATTTGTATTTTTATTTAATTTTTAATGTAAAAAGTAATAGATTCCTCTGGTACGACAGGTACATAGAATTTGAAGTGAAGAAGCATCGTAAATTAATCATATTATTTATGCAGGAACCCAAATTTTAGTCAGGTCACGTGGCCAAATTGATTAATTTATCAGGGTTTGGTTAATGGTTAAATTTGGTTAATGGTAAATTTAAAATTAAATTAAATTCGAATACAGCTCTTGATCATGAATATCATGATTGATATTTATTATTGCAACTCACTCCAGTGTTTGTAACGGAGAAAACTACACAAATTTGACAAAATAATTTGTTGCCATAGTCATAAAAATAGGGAGACAATATTAATCTACATAAATACGTGAAGTCTAAACAGATCTTTCTTCGTAATTTCTGCAAATTTATGTAGTTTACCAAGTTAAAAATGAATTTCGTGAGAACGGAGAAATTTGGTTCTAGAACGGAGAAAGCGTGCAAATTTTATAGAATCGGTTAGCACAATGTGAAGAATTTGTGTATGGCCAATGGCCGTTATAAATTATTCTTGTAAAATTTATTTAAACTGAAAAACTTTAACGCCGGCAACTCGTAAATACTAAATCTGTACTATCTCTGATCAAGTTAGATGGACCGTGACCTCTTGATTAATCCGAAAATGGCAAGCTAATTTAAAAAGTTAGTATTTTGCGATTTTTTTTACAGATTGTTGCAGCCAAAAACTCAATTGCACAAGAAACACTTGCATTCCGATACTTTTGTATGCATAGTTTCGTCTGACTAATCTAGAAACCCATAAATTTATACAAATTGTATATTTGACATATGCACAACCATACAACATTTCGCGAATATATGTACATACATTCGTGGTATATAATTTGACCGGTATCTCTTCTTCCCTTGGGGAACGAGAGCCCTTTATTTTACCACAAAGGTAAAAACTGCTTAACATTTTAAGTCCCACATCAAACATCCTACTTTCTCCACGAGCAGCAAATTTGGGCAAATTTTAGGGGTAAGAAATAAAAGCCACATCACACGGACAACTTTCCTCAGGGAATTCATCCTTCGCGGTTTGCTCGTTTTGTTCAGACTGGAAATAATTATTCCGCCAAAATAACGACGACCAGACCACGAAACTCGACGACAACACTTTCTCCTCGACTTTTTTTAAATTATTAATGGTTTAACAGAGCAGCATTTTTGGGGAGAAAATAACAGAAATTTATTTTAAAAGCCTCTATTGAGCATCGAATTGCCCGACTCGGTAGGTTTTAAAATTTTGAAAAATTTGAAGAAAGTCAAAATTTTGTTGGCATAATTGAATTCATGTTTTTTGTTGTGATATACAAATGTCAAAGTTCACAGGTTACACTTGGGATTAAATATCAGCCTTGACTTCTTGACCTCGTCTGACTGTTTGATACCAAGTTGCTCATCATCAAAGTTTGATTCACGTCTACTCTAAAAATTTTGTTTCTTAATTAAATTGGCCATCAAAAATTTAGGATCATTCAAAAAGCAGACACACCAACACAGACTGGCACGAATCGCCCTATAAGGAAATTTTCCCCTTAAGAAGAAAGAGTATGGAGTTTTTTAACCAGAAATGCGTGAAGGTAACGGGGCGTGACGCGTGAAAAATTGGATTCACACACTCACACTTGGAAATTTCATTTCGTACAAAAAAATTCGACACGTGCCGTCTTCACAGGTTTTAAATGAGGGTAAAAACTTGATCTCAATATCTCTTAAAGAGGAAGTCTGTTGTTTCGTTTTCTGGGTGAAAAAGTAGAGAAGAAAAACACGCAATTACTTGCCCACGTCTTGCCAACAAGGACATTATTTAGAACATTTTGAGCTCTTTAAACGTTTAAGGGTTACATAAATTTCAAAACTTTTTGGTTCCTTATTCTTCTGGGTTTGTTTTTGTGGTGAGGAGAGAAATAAACGGACGTAACATTTGGAGAAAGTTTAGGAGAAAGTATTTATTTAACGGTGAACTGTTTCTATGCCTTGTTTTTTTGTGGTGGGGAAAATTAAGGATTAAAGTGGAGAAAGTTAGTTAGTCTTTCTCCTCTATTTTGTCATGGTAGAAAGGATGCCATTAAACTTACAGATATCGAGTTATCACTGTTTTTTAACTGCGATTTAATTAAAACACAGCTGCACCGAAACATAATTGTACATAACAATTTGTTACAGAATTTTCTTAAAGGTTATTTCGTTGTCAGTAATGAGTAATTAATACATGCGCTACAAACTTTCCAGAATTTCCGTGAGTGATTTAATTATCACCAAAAATCCAGGATCTATGGTTATAACAGTTCAAAAATGTTCGAAACAATATCTGTTCCAAATTATAAATCTTCAACTTTAACATCTGACAAATGATTTATAATCTAATTTTTCTGGTTAACTTTCCCTGATTTCCGGGAATTTACATGGTTACAAACATCCGAGTGAGTTGCATGTGTACATTTCAAATGATGAAATTTGAAATTTGAAATTTTCATTTTTTTCAAATGATCAACTCATTTGAAATTTTACAAAAAGAGCTGTGTATTCATTCACAATTTATGCACAAAAGATTTAGTTTTTTCCGGTCCGGTTTGACGTCAGTTAAATTTTTTTGCGATTGGAGGTTGGATTTAAATTAATTAAAGATGAAAAAGTCATGGGTGTAAAGTTGGGAAATTTGTAAAATGAGAACGGAATTCAATAGAATGGCGCAACCTATCTAGTCAAGTATTTTGTTGCCTTCCTTGCTCAATTTATTCTCATTTACTAGAATAAAATAATGAAGGGTTTCTATTATCTTGAAAGCAATGAAAAAGATGAGGAGTCAAGTACACAAATAACATTCCGATCGAAGTTTTTCTACAAACTAAAAAACAACTTATAAATATTTCTTCCTTTTCACTTACTCACTGTCACCCTAACTCTTCTAATCAGATAACGGATGGAAATATACCCAAATTTTCAGAGTGAAGGTGAAAGTGAAAGTAAAATTCGTCCTAAAGAATAATAAACCAGGTCGCTGGGCGCTTCGGGCAGATAGAAAACTTGACGAAATAGACAATGCACACCCTTCTCTCACTCATTCTGCTTTGTGCCATTGTTTATCAAAAAGGGTTAGAATTTCGCCGTAATAATGGAAATGAATGAAATCGTGGAAAGAATGCAGCTTCAATTTTAAAAGGCAACTCAATCTATTGGAGGAACGGATGAAATACAATTGACCACTTTTGTAAAGAGTTTCTTTTAATGAATAAATATTTGAAGATTTGTTTCATGGTAAACTTTTCGTAAAAAGCTTGTACTCGAATTATGAAGAGAATTTATGTCATTATTAATTTTTAGGGTTTGATTATGATGTTTTTAATTTGAAAAATTAAGTAGTGTGTGAAATTCATGCGTTGGAAATTGTCATAAAAATAAAAAATTCTTATTACAAACAAATTAATTTTAGTTATATAATACCAAATTAAAACTTGAGCATCGCCACACCTGAAAAGTAAATACGTACTTAGATTTTTCTATATATTTCCGCAAAATGACGTCAAAGTTAATTAAAAAACAACTTATTGGAGTAATTACAATAATCTAATTACCCAGAAAGACATTTTCCCATATTATGCCTGTTTTACACCCTGTATGATTTTTACGTATTTTTTACGTATTGTGGCAGACCGGCACGTAACAATAACCGGAATATGTAACGTGTAAAACACAAGTATTACTCTTGGGTTTGAGGGTCAGTTATATGCTTGTTTTATGCTCGTGTTGTATTCGATGAATACAGACGTTATATTACTGTATTATTTCTGAAATTACGATCATTTTACACATTAATTGTTTTCAAATCTGTACATATTTATTATCTCTTCAATAATCAAAAAAAATTACGCTATACAAGTTAAGTTAACAAAACTCCATTACGGCTAGGATTAATGTAATTATTTAACATCGGGATACAATAGTAACAACTAGAATCTAATCTATACGGTAACAAAACGCATTTCATAAACAACAAATTACTATTAAGTACAAAATCATTAGATAAATTTAACGACAATTTATAGATACATAATTTGCTACTCTTAATCGGATACATACCCACAGTGTTTCGAGTAAGAATTTTTTGACAAATGAAGTTAGGTTTACCTATGTCATCAATTGTTATTGATTTAACGAGAACTATATTCATTTCCCCATCCAGAAAGCAATTATCACCAAACTTTGTACCAATGCTAAATTTTTCTAAAAAATATCGCCGGATTACTTTATTTTTACCTTGTACATAATTTTTGCATCTGGCGGACTTTGACTGCAAATAATCAGAATTACGGGCTTCTTCCACTCGTTTAACTATTTGCTCCAACTGAAGTTTTTTCCCTCTGACTTGTTTTTTTAAAAACTGCAAATGATTTTCGAATGGGAATGCGCTAACGTTATCCAAACTACCGAAAAGTTTTGCGTCATCTGAAATATGTAACAGGCTATGTACATTATAGACAATTTGTGTTGCTCCGTATATATTTTTCATGTCACTAACGAATTTTTCTAATAAACTTTTTGCTAAATTATTCCACTCATCCACATGAGCGTTGTTAGATAATAAAATATATACAGCTGAATGAAGCTTTAGAAAGTGGATATAGGCTTCGTCAGAAAGAATGCCACGAAAGGCCATTGGAGCTGTGTATAATAAAAGTTGTCTGAACTCTGTAGCTTTGAACCTGTTAATATCTTTTAATGAGCGCGGCTTCCTGTTAAATTCGTAAGGAACATGTTTGGAAATACGACATAAATAGTCCGAGATTTCGAAAACTTTCTTAGATTGCATACGATTTTTTATGGGCCCAGAAATCCAAATATTTAAGAGTTTACGCATAATTCCTAAATAAAAACAATGCATTGAGTCTATAACGACTTGACTAACCAATCCAACATTAAGTATCGCCAATGGTGAGTCGTACACATGATGATCAATGTCAAGTTTCGCCCTAAATGATTCATCAGATCGAAGCGTACTAGACTTAACAGAATAAATAATTCGCCCATTGTATTCACCTTCGTCAATACAGCGCTCACAAGAATGATAACCATTATGCCCTTTGCACCCCTTAATAAAACTACGCGCAGGCGCATCTGCAATAATTGCACTTATTCGAAATCTATATTTAACAGAATCAACAGTGAGCCCATTTAATTCTAAATCTCTAACCTCCTCAATAAATGGTTTTAAAAATTCTTTAACACAACATGGCTTACTCTCGCCGCAAAATAAACCGGCCAGTACTGGGGACATATTTTTGACTTGGTCAATTGTAAATAAAATTGGCCACATTTGCGTATTGCTACTCTTACACACTGGGAATCCGTCCGTGCTTACAGTTATTGACAATAAATCATTTGAATCATTTAAATTTACAAATGTTTTTAAAAAGGGATATTTACATTCATTTCTAAAACTAGAACAACTAACCCTAAGAATTTGATCTTTAATACCAAAATAACTAAATTTCCCCCCTTTAATGGAAGTCACGGTTATTTTTCTCGGAGTGTGTAATAATGTTTTGGCGCATACGGGAAGAATTTCATTGTCCGGAAGATGATTATTTAAAACTGGCAATAAAGAATCTAGTGCGTTATGAGATATGTTAAATGAAATTGCCCAATGCGATAATGCATGTTTCAGGCTAACTTGAGAAGAAGCTGACGATGGTGTCAACTCAATTGAAGGACTTACTACATTTTCTAGACTGTGAATATTGCTGTTACCCAAAGAAAAATCATATTTATAGGATGGCACACTTCTTAATGGAGTAACCAAAACTTCAGGACTTATTTTACTTAACGAATTAATAGTGGACTGAACATCCTTGATGATTCTGCGGCGCTTGGATCGATATGACGACATTAGGATTAGTTATTATCTGGTGACTGTTGGGATTTCGGCGGCCGAGAATTTTGAAGCCAAGTCTGAATGAAGGCAACAATTTCTGACGTCTTGGAAGCACGGCAAACTGGATTTTCCAAAGCTCCGTCTAGTTATCAGCAAAAAAACTTATTATCTGAATTACAGTTGTACTCATGGCTTCTTTCCGCTTAGTGTAAATTAATTCTCATGTGTGCAATATTATTACACATGCCTACATATTATAAACCCCAATATTCAAAATCCTGGCATATATGCAAATGTTTAAGAAATATTTAACAACTAACCTAGAACCGCAGCAGCTAATGGAGAACTTTTGAAGCAAATTTTATTGTGAACCCCAATGTAATTTGTTTGCACCGCTAATTCTTTTGAGAATAGACGTTGCAGAATTCCAGTGACAACTTTCTGTGGTGTCTTGCCCCCAAAGGATGAAAACATGTCAACCTACATAAGCAATTGTGGATTAATAAAATTTGGCAAAACAATTTAAAATAATTATCAAATATTTGTACCAAGCTGGTTTTATGATTGTTATCAGCCATCCAGTGTTCCAAGCTTCTCATATCCGTCAGAGATTCAAGTGGCAATTTTACCGGGACATTGAGTTGCACCCTAGTTGAGGTCGATTTAGTTCGAATAAGTAGCTCTTGAATATCATCCTTTAATTCACGGACGGTAGTGAGCAGATATTTTTCGAGCGCTATATACAAAATGTAAGTTTTTGTTAATAATTTCTCGTTGACTAATTACGGAAATGACTTAAATGAGGTCTAGTACCGATCTGCCGTGTATACAAAGTTAGCAGAGTTGTCCCAGGTGGTAGTTTTCCTTCTTCAGATTCTTGGCCCAGATCGCCGTCGGCTGAATTGTTCACAATAAAGTCTTCCTCAGTTTGGAATACAGAAATTTCGATAACTTGTGATTCCCCCGGAGGCGAAAATATTTGTGAATTCACTGGCACAGATTCGGGAGGAGTGGTGACGGTTGTTGATTCCAAAAATGACCCGTGATCTGTAGGTCCTGTGAGTAATTATTAGCAGTTAATGTCAACCACTTTGCACTATAATGTGTTATCAATTAGGCACAAGTGTTTTTTTTAAATAATAATATAATAAACATAACGAAAGTAGTTGTTAAGTAAAATTCCATACCTTCATCTTCGTCTGATGGTAATGCGGGCGATAACCTCAGATTGTCTTCCTCCTCTAACGATACCTCATTCCCCTTATTCTTTTTTATGCTTATCTTTCTTTCAAATATCTTTCTCTTTCGCGAAGATGTCCCCCCAGAATGATCCGATGACGACTCGAGATTTGATTCCTCCTCCGCACGTTTTTCTAGGGCTTTTCCTTCCTTCAAATCTCGAACTATAATTTATTTAACAAATTATAAATTATAATTGATGTATTAAAAGTTATAGAAGTAAATTAGCATAAACTTACCATTGCTACGTTTAAGTTGAATCGGATGCAGTTGCCAATTTTCTTGTGGAGCAGCAAGTTGACTAATTAACTTGGAAGCAATTTTATTTGCTTTGGGTCCGGCTGGCCAGTAGCAAAATTTTCTGGTAGCATCCAACCAAATTTCAGGAACAATTTGCACACTGTTATCACTGGGATCCGTAAAATGGACAATGCAAAACATTGTAAATTCAGTTAAATGAAGAGAATATTGATGGAGGATCGTTAACTAATATGAGTGCGGAAGAAGTGTGAAATGAGGGAAAATAACGGCCAACCAGAGTTGCGTCCCCTGTATTTTACCAGTCTTTTACGGACGTTTTACTGTATGAATACGGAGAAGAATATTGGGAGCCTGTCTCAGAGTTTAATGTATGTAATATATTTGTTTCTCCGTGAGTGTATTACTTTGATTCATTAAAACTGGAGTTTAACATCGAACATTTAACACATTTCTCACTACTGTAAAACCCAAGAGTAAAACTTTGTATTTACCTCCATATTCAACTTATATTTTACTAAACCCGGTTTTTACAGCCTATCTGATCAAATACTCCCGTTTTACTGGGTTCATGTCTTTCTGGGTAATTACCTTCAGAATTTTCGTATAACGAAGTTGAGTTTGGTACATATTTTAAAAAAATCAATTTAATTTTAATCGTATAAAATTTTACAAGTTAAATTATCTTTTTTATGTAGAAAGGGTGTTTTTTTACTACAATAAATAAATAAAAACTGCCCAGAAAACTGTCGTTTAATCTAAATTATTGTTAATGTATTTTTTTTCATATTTTTCCACATAGACGTCTAAATCATTCTAATCTCAAAATATGTAACAATATTTTCAATAGATTAACCTAATACATTACGTAGACTCTACATTTCTCCTGGCTGGCAAAATTTTGGAGAAGGTTGCTCTAAGAAAGTACACAAGTCGACTTTTAGCCATTTAGATTGGACAAATTTTGAATTCTTTCAGACTCGTCGATGTTGGTCGTACAGCTAATAAAATGAGATCCGAGAAAGTGCGGTGTGTTTTGGATTTTGTGGATCTTTGTACTTCTGTCGGATCCCTTTTGTTAAGTCGACCCACATATTTCCGCCGTCTTGTCGAGAGCAAATTACGTGACAACATGGTGCAAAACATGACAAAGAGACGAAGCAAAAGGTGTTCTGCCCCATTTTGCGGAGTGTTTGTGATGAAGTGGATTTTATATAAATCATCTTCGCCTTGGGATGTCAAGTCTGGTTTGTAATAAAGAATGGGCTTTTGTGTAATTAAAATTATGGTGATAATTAAAGTGTAATTAAGTCTCAAGAGTAGAATGTAATTTGGGATAATTATTCGCGTAGGAGAAATGAAGAAAGAAATCAATAACTTGGGTTGTTTTAGAATTTTCAAACTTATGAAACTTTGTGATATATTTAGAGGTAATATTAGAGGTATATTTAGAGGTTTGTAGAACAGATTTAAAGATGTTTTTTGAAATGTGATACGCCGAAATATAAAATTTTACAAAATCTTAATATCATAAAGCATCCAAGATGTTTTCCGGTGATTTTTTTTCATAAACACGGGCGGAACAACGTGGATTTGCGTGGATGGCTATAAAAGGAAAAAATCAACAAAATTTTTATAAAAATTTGCAAAGAAAAATACTTTTGAATCTTTGAAAATCTTTTGAATACGAACGTCCGTTGGAATTTCACGCAAATTGAAAGTGGGGATATGTTAAAATAAATCGGGTGAACAAATTTTGAAGAATTTAGGTCAGGAGCTGAAAAAGTATAATTTTTAGCTTTTTGTGCCTTGAAATTAGCAATTTCTGTTCATATTCAGGTCCGTTTACAGTTTAGCTCTAACCAAGAAAATCACGAAAAGCACATTGGCCTTCAATCATCAATGTTGCATTTTGTTGCATGTCGTTCCTGAAATTCCCACGTGGCCTCGTTGCACAGCATCCTTCCCTGCTCGTTCCACAACTTTCCCCAACTTTCACAACAACGTAGAGCTGCTGTTTTTATTTATGTTTGCAAAACCTGCTCGGCATGATAATCATGAGTCCCACGCGAATTGGATTGGATTCTGGGATCACTTCATCATCTTTGTGTGGACTTTCTCTTCCTCGTTTGTTGCTAACACGGGTTCATCGAACACGTGTTTTGAAAATTAGGAAAAGATGCGTTTTTTACCAATTTTGGAAAAATACAGGATTTTTTTTAAGTCAATGTGGTATTGTATTAATGTGTGTATGCCAAATTCAACTTTTACCAAATCGATAAAGTTTTATTACCGTTAAAGAATAGCAACTGTTTAATAGTTGTTGTTAGCGTTTAATTTAGAATTTGCTAAATTCGACGTCTTTTGTCATATTTGAGACAAGTTTATATTTAATAGTTGTTGTTAGCGTTTAATTTAGAATTTGCTAAATTCGACGTCTTTTGTCATATTTGAGACAAGTTTATATTTAAAGTGTAAAAGCTAGATTTTGCAGGCTAATGGAAAGTATTCCATCAGCCTATCATCTAGCCATATCTACAACTTGTTCCATGAGTATTTCATTCATGTGCAAAGTCGAAAAATGTTTGGTTGAAAGATGTGCTAACTCCTCTATTAAACTTGTATCGTCACTTTATTCCTAACGTTTGTTAACTGAGGCAAATATCGTTGAATATTACGATCAAGTCAAAATTGAAATTTGTAAAATTTTCTAACGTATGTAGCATTTTGACGCCTTTATAAATATTTTGATAGAGTTGACACTCTGATTAAATAATTCAGATGAGTATCCAATGGACACTGAAAATGTTTTAAGTTTCAAGCAATCCTACAAAGTAGATTTGAAAAATTTCAGAAATTCTATCAACAATAAAAACACCCCAAAGAACGGTTCCCTCCCAACCCTGTCGTTTCCTTTTGCAGGAAACATTTCACATTCAAACAATACAAGGACGACGAGCCTTCATTCTCCACCGTAAAAGGGTTGTCATCTTGTTAAAAGGTTTGTTTTACTAGCGAACACGTGCCCATGCCCTTCCGCGCGCAGGGAGAAAGTGAGTGAAAGTGAAGGCAGGAATCTTGCCGGAGAAGTAAAGTCAAGAAAGGAAAACGAGCCTGACTTCCTGTTTACACTGAAAAGAGCAGTCTTCCAAAGTTTAAAGTGCAACCTTCTCCGCGTGCTTTTGCCCTCTTTCTTCTTCTTCCGGAGAAAGTCGGTCCGGCATGAAATTAATGAAATGACGGGCTATGCTACCTCTCACCATCATAATCTTGTCGAGTTTTTATTGCACGGGAGGGAACGCGAAGGTGGAAAAGTGAAAGTATTCTTCTTCTCTTCGTTTCCGGAGAGGAAGTCAAATGTGAAAATTAATTGAATGGAAAAGTTACGAAATTCCCGTTTTTTCAAGTAAATTGTTATAATTTAAGCGAGGTGAAAGGTGGAATTTTATTTTCAGGGTAAAGGGTCAGTTAAACCTTGGAATTAGATTAAATTTAAATTTTTAGTTAGAAAATCGCTTTTGTAAAAGCAATTGATGGTAAATAAGACAAACCTTAGCCTATAAAAAAACTGGATTATACCAAGGCTTAAGTGAAGCCGAGAGGATGATAAGTGATCAGTTTGTGGCAAAAAGTGGTACCTCATTTTGTTGTAAGAAAAGTTGGGACGAAATTGTATGGAAAATGAAATACATGATTTTTTTAAAAAATTGTGATTTCTCAACCCTTTAAAAATTTATGATGCTCCGAAAGTACCTTTAGAAACCGAAGAAAGTCGTATCTTATTACTTTTCTCTTAGAATTTAGTCCAAAATGCGCTAAAATTATAAACTGTTCAACATTCTCAATTTCCAACTCGTAACGAAATCGCGAGTTATTTACTGCAAAATGTTTGATTTCGCTCTCCAAAAGTGAAATATTTTCCCACCGGACACTTAGCGAGATACGACGACATTCTGCACTTTCACTAACTTTGAATTCCGCCTTAATTTACGAACTATTACGTAATAATATGCAAATTAATTTTCATAATTTGTTGCATAACACACAAATTAGTTTATCAAAACTATTATATAAATTAATTCCCTAAATTAATATATAACTTTGTTTTGTTATATCATATGCGACTTAATTTCTGCTCAGATTCCTGTCAAGGTTTTATTAAATATTTGTAAACAAGATGTGACACTGATTGTCATGCTTTCACCCAATTTCGTGCAGAATGGCTGGGTGAAAGTGAAAGTGAAGAACTTTTTCATATTAACGTAATCCCAACCTCATCCCGGATTCGTTTCAATTTGTGTAAGTTTACAGTATCCGTTTCAACGAGGGAAAGCATCCATAGCGGAATTTTTAACTTTCTCTGAGAGAGAGTGGCTTTCACTCTGCTCGGCCTGTTGACTTGGTGGCGGACGAGGTCAGAACTTTGATTCCAGTTTTGGTAGGAATTTATTCTCTATGCATAATAACATCTTTCTTCATTTTGGGAAGACGGGGACCCTCTTAAAATTTTTTGGGTGGATTTAAACGAAGGTTTTATTTACGATGTAAGGATTTATTTGAGATATTTGACACAGTTCGTCGAATTAAAAAAATGGGATTTTGATCAATTACGAAATTTTGAAAAGGATTGAGCTAAACGTCATTTTAGCAAAATTGAAATTTTAAAAACCTAAACTGAGCCAAAGGTGGTGGAGCGAGACGTTTGAGATTTTTAAACTTGACGGATTTGTACCATTTCGAAACAAATTAGAATGCAAATTTTTAACATTTTCTTTCATAGTTTCGATCCTAAATTTTGAATAATATAACAATAAATGAACAGCAAAAATCTAGAGACAATTTCAATTATATAAGAAGGATATGAACGAATTTTAGGAAAAGGAAAAAAAATTAGATTTTGAGAAATCCCGAAATTTTGAGGGGGAATTGAGTTTGACGTCGTCATAAAAAGGTTTGAAGTTCAGAAATCTGAGTGAAAATAGGAAAGTGTTTTGAATGTACTGTCAAATTACTGAAATTTCAATAAATTGGACGCCGATGTAAAAAAAAATATGAATTTCAACATAAAAGCAATCATAGATAATTCTTTTCCCCCGAAGTATGGTTTTACTACCAAAAATTAAAAAAATATATCTTAATTTATATGGCAGGAAAAATTGATGAACAGTCAATTAAGTTCAGTCAATTGAAGTTCATTTGAAATAACATTATTACAAAATAATTACTGGATTTATTCGGTCAGTAAAAATATAAATGAAGCTAAAATTTTTGATTGTAAATAATTAGTAAGTTTTGTTCCTCTATTTATCTCTCCAATTATTCATGCAGTAGGCACAAATTTGTATTCTACGTTTTTTAAGGGTGTCGTTATTTGTGAGAATGATGATGATGGAGCTTTGTCAGCCATGAAGCAGACTGGACGCTGGGTGGAGTGGACTTTGGGAAATTACTTTCCCCAAAGTTTTTTGTCTCTGCGAAACGAAGAATTTGGATTCTGACTCCGTCTCCAAAATTGTTTTCCGGGAGGAGACAAAAAGCGAAAACGGTTTTTGGTTTGGATTCATCATGCACGAATTACTCGTCTATTGGGGACCATGCTTAAAGGGTGGGATCATCGATTTGAGTGGAATTTTTACTTCTGTGCGGCCCTAACGAGCCTAAAATTTTGT